GATTTCAAACCAACACTGATTAAGAGAGACAAAGAAGGACACTACATCCTTGTAAAGGAAACAATCCAAGAGGAAGAGATGACAATCATAAATACCTATGCACCAAACACTAATGCGCCCAACTATATAAAACAAATAGTAATGGACATGAAAAATCAAATAAGCACTAATATAATAGTGTCACAAATTGATAGATCAAGCAGACAAGAAATAAACAATGAAATAGTAGAATTCAGTCAAACTCTTGAACAAATGAACTTAACAGATGTTTACAGAGTGTTCCACCCCACAGAATCAGAGGACACATTCTTTTCAGCTGCACACTCCAGTCATTCTCCAAAATAGACCACATACTCACTCATAGAACATGTTTAAGTAAGTGCAAAGGAACTGAAGATATCACAGTACGATGAAATTGGAAATCAATAGCAAAAGAAACCAGAAGAATTTCATAAACACATGGAAATTGAACAACACACTTCTGAATAACCAGTGGGTCACAGACGAAATTAAAGAAGAAATCAGACAGTTTCTACAATTCAATGACAATATCAATACAACATATCATAATCTATGGGACATAATGAAAGCAGTCTTATGAGGGAAATTCATAGCAGTGAATACACACATTAGGAAAACAGAGCGGGCCTAATTAATCAACCCGATGCCGAACCTCAAGCTTCTAGAAAAAGAAGAGCAGGACGAACTCAAAGCTCAGACAAGGGAAGAAATTATAAACATCTGAGCAGAAATCAATGCAAATGAGACTAAGAGAATGATACAAAAAAATCAATGAAGCAAAGAGTTGGTTCTTCGAAAGAATCAATAAAATTGACCAACCCTTAGCCAAGCTTATCCAAAAAAGGAAAGAAAAGGCCCAAATCCATGCAATTAGGAATGAAAAGGATGAAATTACAGTGGATCCAGCAGAAATCCAGAGGATCATCACTACCTACTTCGAGAACGTATATGCCAATAAGATGGAAAACAGAAGAAATGGACAAATTCCTACGTATGCATGAATTACCAAAATTGAGCAAAGAACACCTAAAAATGCTAAACAACCCAATATCAATCAATGAAATTGAAAATGTAATTAAAAATTTACCAACTCAGAAAAGCCCGGGTCCTCATGGCTTCACTGTTGAATTCTACAAGACATTTAGTGAGGAACTGCTGCCACTACTGTTTAAACTCCTCAGTGAAATTGAAAGGGAAGCAATACTCACAAATTCATTCTGGAAGCAAGCATCACCTTGATCCCCAAAGCAGAGAAAGACCCAACTGAAAA